TACCATTAAAGGGGAACTATAGGATAGGAATACAAATTTATTTTCCTAGCCTACAGTGCCCCCCTCGCTCGCCCCCCACTCCCTGTAGTGATGAACGGGTTGAAAACACTTTTGTCATTTACCGTTTTATTGCATGGTTTGATGCACCACACTATACAATGCAGGATTAAAAATACAATCTGCCCTGTTTTTTTTATGTATCTATACAGGGATACTCTAAATAAATCATGTGTAAAACCTGCTTCTGAATCATGCAAAAATATTGTTTTGCTTAATTTTAGGCAAAGAAAAGTAAAACCATATGTGAAATATGTGCACCTTAACTCTATCCAATTGTCTTCAATTTCGAAAAGCACATTTTCTGATGTCTTATGATCCAATCCAATCAGAAATTACCTTAGAACTTGCAAATACAGAGTTTTTTTTCACTTTACTGGACATGTTTTCCATTGCAGCAAATCCACAGCCTACAGTGGTGAGCCTAATTAAATAATACACTTGTAAATTAAAGAACAATCAAAGTAACTCTGTATAATGATCCATTCTTGTTTAATGCCCCCGTTAAACACTTTACTGTCTTAGTGTCTACTGTCTAATGTCTGCTAAGCGGCTCAAAGTTACATTAATATGTTGTACAAATATTTCACACCAACGTCGCGTGTACGCTAAGCCTGCAATTAAATGTCTGCGGAATATAATTCAATGAAGTATTTAAAATTGCACAAGAAAAGGAAACGGACTGGAAAGTATTCTCCCTGCTATATGAAAGCATTCCTTGTAATGATCTGTGAATGATTTATGAGAAATCTTTAGTGGCAGTTTATTAGAAGCACTTGAAATATCAAAAGACTAGTGACAGGAAATTTAATGAAGTGATATCCTGCGAAAACAACACAATGGTAATGATCTAGACTAGAGGGATCGGCTTATTAAATAGTTTAATCTCCTATGAAAACTTTGATTGACTAAGTTAAGCGGCAGGTTTAACAAATATTGTAATTTTTTCAAAGAAAAAGAAAATCACAAGCGTTAAAATCAGCATGTGTGAATATGTAAATATTCATATCTATGTTGAAACACAGCTTTATAGAGCTTGGCTAATTATAGTTCACGTGGTATATGTGACAAGCGTTTTCTGAGATTTGCACTTTTTGTAAATGCGAGGTGATCAACCAAATAGTTAAGTTCAATTTTAATTTTACAAAGTCAGTCAAAATGTATTTAAAAGGATAAGCCAGAGCAGAGCCCTATATGTGAAAGGTGTGTCCCCTTTTTTCATTTTGCAAAAAGTGAGGATTTAAAAAAAAAATTGACACATGTAAAGTAATCTTGTTACACCCTCCCTGGCTGTCAATCAGACACCTAGTCATATTACTTCCTGATTTGGTTAGCTCAGTATAGCTAAACTGAAGAATCAGCAATTGCCCAGAAGACCTGCTTTACAAACAGCTGCCCTAGAAAGTCTTAGCTTCTTACAAGAGAACTACAGCTTTTGCAAGCTGTGTTTATATATACCCTAACTTTAATATACATAATTAAGTGTGTGCATGTTTTTATTGTGGGTATGTCTACTAAACATGTTTTAATGCAAATGTATTGTATTTAGGCAGTGGAGTGTCCCTTTAATGTAAGCAAAAAAGAAAGGAAGGAGAATGTGTAAAACATGTTAAAACACTTTCTCCATTGTTGACCAGCAATTTCCTGTCTCGACTGCATTGTATACTAAGATCATTCCCCTCTTCCAGGCGAAACCAAAATATTTGTAATTATTATCTACCTCTCCCCCCTCTTTCCCATGCAATATCCTTTAGCCTGTAAACCATAAGTGTAGACTTTGTAGAAGTGTAGACCATAAGTGTAGACTTTGTATTACTTTCAAAGTATGGTGTAATTTAAGACCTGTACGATTACAATTATTCACTAAACTGAGAAGTGTTGAGAATTTAAAGTGAATTCAAAGTGAGGCACAGCTGACTGGGACATATTTTTTCCATTTTGGCCATGAATTTGAAATTCACTTTGAATTCTTGAAAATTCTCATTTTAGAGGATACAAACAGAAAGATCAGTGCACTTAAACCAAACCAGATAGAGTAAAAGGAATAAAAGTAGGCAGCACACCTTAAAATATTGTGCTCCTTCTTAGCCCTACACAGCAAGTAAAATATTAAAAAGGGATAGGGGGGAAGGTTGCGCCAAAACAATATTAACCTATTATGTCTGAACAACACAGAAAGCTATTCTAACAGGATATAATAAATACATGAATAAAATGACTTCTATTTCAAAACAGTTTGTGTTTCTTAAAACAGTTTGTATTTTTGAAAAATTCCTGTGTAAAGATATAAACTCTTTTAGAAGAAATGGTTATGGGATTCTTCAGAGAAATACTCTTCTGCCAGGGAGTCAGTGGTAAGAAGAAATCTTGAAATTCGTATATAAAAACAAAGAAAGACGAATAGTGTAATATATTGCAGAATGTGGTTTACAGTTAAAAAAGTAAATATATGGTCCTACTCACGTTTTTAAGAGCTTTGACCAGCTCTAGTATTGATAGCGTACAGTGGTACAATCCCTACTTATGGGCTACGTGAGACGTTGATAGTTGTTTCAATGTTGTGAAGACCATAAAATGATGCAGGAACAATAATAGTGCTCACTTTTTAAAAACTCCAGGAGTGTAGAACTATATAAATTATGTAGACATGTCTGATGATGGCTATGAGTCAAGGTGGCCATGTTTTTGGTGTCTCTAAAGGGACAAACAGTGGCAGGCATGTTTTTGGTGTCTCTAGTGAGACAAGCAATGGCAGACATGTTTTTAGGGAAGTTCTGTAGCTAGGATTTAATAAAAACAAATAATATTTACCCAATAAGGGGAAAAAAGGTGGTGGATATATATTTTGTATGGATTGGTAAAGTATAAATTTACTGTGAAAAAGACTTAAAGGACCACTATAGTGCCAGGAAAACAAACTCGTTTTCCTGGCACTATAGTGTTAATAGGTCCCCCCCCCACCCTCATGGTCCCCCTCCCGCCTGGCTGAAGTGGGAGGAAGGGGTTAAACACTTACCTTTCTCCAGCGCTGGGCTCCCAATTTCTCAATGCTTTCCTATGGAAGCTGAAAATCACAGGGAGAAGTGCAGACGCGCCTCTAGCGGCTGTCAATGAGACAGCCACTAGAGGCTGGATTAACCCATATGTAAACATAGCAGTTTCTCTGAAACTGCTATGTTTACAGCTGCAGGGTTAACCCTAGATGGACCTGGCACCCAGACCACTTCATTAAGCTGAAGTGGTCTGGGTGCCTATAGTGGTCCTTTAATGTGATGCTGTAAGAGTAATGTAAAATTAGAATAAAAATTTTAAAAGAGAGTAAAATAGATATGGAGAGTTAATATAAGTAAAAAGAAAAAAATTGTATAGATGTAAATCAAAAGTAAAAATAAAGTGGAGGTAAAATAATAGAAAATTAAATATAAATGTATATAAGAAAACAATAAGAAATAAGAAAAGGAATAGGAAATAAAATAGAACATTAATTCCCATAAAAAATTAACATGAGTGTAATAAAAATATCATAAGGAGTGAAGTTAAAATATGTCGTATATACATAGATGTAAAATAAATAAAATAGTCCGGCTCTGGGCATACCCATTACACTTTTCCAGCATTCCTAGGAATAGGACAGTGATTGGTTAGATCAGTGTCCCTCCCTGGAGAGGCTGTGTAAAGCATAAAAAAGAAAAAGTAGATAGATATGAAGCAAAAAAACATCATATTTACCTGCTTTTTTCAGCCTATAGAGTGAGGCAATGATCTTATTCAAAGCTTACGTTTTCCCAAAGTGATCCACGTAGCAGCGGTTTGTTAGATAACAGCAGAATCTGACCCAATATGTCTGCTCAGTCAGATAAAAAAGTAACATTTCATAAAAAAAATTATATTAATAATCAATATACATAATTTTAAAACATATACATGGTTGTTCACTAAACTGAGAATTTTTGTGAATATAGTTCATTTCATATCCAAGGTCTTGGACTTAAATTTCAAATTCACTTAGTAAATTATGTTTCAAAACATGATGACAGCTGTCCTTTTATGTCTTCTATAAATACAATCGATGTTCATAATTATGACATCTAAAGTAAATGATTTACCAGATTGGTAACTATTTCTTTAAATATAACCCTTCCAAACGATTAGATTTAAATATTATTGACCAGATTCTAATATTACAACTATGATAACTAAATTCGAATTCTCAATAATAGACATGACTGAGTGTCAAAAGTTTCCCCCCTATTATTGCTGATATTAAAGATAAGGCATACAATGATAATGTTCTCTGGAAATAGACTGACTGTAGTTTTCTTTAGAATAATGTAAATAAGCTTTCAGTGTTTCCTTTACAATAGACCATAAGTCAGCTCTACTGACAGTAAAGAAGAAACTGTGGTCGGAACCTTCTGGAATCTTCCCTTCTTTCCCTTGCCAAACAGCACCAAGCCTGAAGGGATTTAAATCATCATTTAGTAGGCCACACACGACCATCCATAAAACACACTAAAACAAATTAAGAGACCATATCTATAGAAATAATTATTTTCAGGCAGAATCTATAAAATATCTTTCTTAGTAGCACTTGCGGAAAAATCTACCATAAACTTTCTCTTTCCCCTGAGTGTGATGGAAGCCAGAAGCAGATGTGTGGTATATCCTATCTTATTATCCTTGCTAGTAAAATTATGCATTAAAGGAGACATTTGCACATGTTTTTATAAGTACAGTAAAAGTTTATTTAATTTTTTATAGAACATTGTATTAGCAGTGTTACAACAAATAACCCAGGTCATCACGGACGGATGTAGCAGATCTCCCGAATGTTCTGCTTTCTGATAGACAGTACAATGAATTTATTTTCATCAGTTACCCTTATCCTCTCCAATACGCTTATTCTCTAGTTCTTACTCTAGCCAGTTTTGATCTTGGGGAGACCTAATCAATGCGTTATAATTGCGAATTGGTTAATTAGTGGTAAAACTTCATCCTCGAGTAAGTCTTGATAAATTCAATCACGATCTGTTAGTATCTCTTAGATTTATTTATTTTTGTTGAGTATATGAATAACATGACTCAAAGCCATCATCAGACATTGCATATCCTTCCTGGTAATGTTCTGCCAGGTTGGTACTATAGCTTGTCACAGGGTGATTGTGATTGACACTAACGTACTACTTTTTGTCCATGAAAATATCCATGGCTCCATTAAAATTTTGAGACATTTAGTTAAATGAAGATCTTTCTCTACACTTTTGAATAAATACAGATTAATCTTAAGCTCATTACTACATCAAACTTTGTTCCAGAACATTATATTTTCTTAAGTGCAGTATAGCATAGCTTAGGTCGTAACGGTAACTTCTGTTTATGGTACTTTTTGAGACATCTAGTGATATGTGTCCACCCAACCTCCTCCCCAGCCCCAGTTTTTTAATTTAAAAGCGCACTGGCCATGGGTAGGGGCAGGGGGAATCAAGTCTCACCCTTTATTTAGCAGGTCCCACAACTGTCATTGGGACGTCTTTAGTCAGCATCAGAACAAGAGTTCCAGGCTGGCTAATGTCAATTCTGTGCATATTTCTATGTACAGAGGGGCATTGATTGGCTAAGAGTGATCAGCTGACACTCTCTCAGCTTATGAATGGCCTGTGGAATCATCTCTGTAGAAGCTGGATGCTGTTAGCTGTCAGAAGACCATCAGTGCTTGGCTGGACCAGGTATGAGCAACGGTTTGCCCCATTCCCAGGGAAAGGGGCAAGGGTAGTGGTTATGATAGTTGTAGTAACCATTTACATGTAGATATTCACACCTCTTCATCCAGAAACATGGTGCCTCCATCTTCGCTCCCTATCAGTCCTTGATATAAGCTCTGGCTTTTGCATCTGGCGATCAGCATAGAGAGAGCATTTCTGTTTCTCCTTGTTTGTAATTTTTGACCTGGATTTGCCTTGTCTCAACTGGTTTTGATATAAATTGCTAAATTTTGACTATGCATTTTAAAAACTTATCATTTCATGGAAATAAGGTTAACACAGGTTATAGGTGATATTCAATGTTTTATTTAAAGGACCACTCTAGGCACCCAGACCACTTCAGCTTAATGAAGTCGTCTGGGTGCCAGGTCCAACTAGGGTTAACCCATTTTTTTATAAACATAGCAGTTTCACAGAAACTGCTATGTTTATAAATGGGTTAATCCAGCCTCTAAAGCCTCTAGTGGCTGTCTCATTGACAGCCGCTAGAGGCGTTTGCGTGCTTCTCACTGTGAAAATCACAGTGAGAAGACGCAAGCGTCCATAGGAAAGCGTTATAAATGCTTTCCTATGAGACTGGCTGAATGCGCGCGCAACTCCTGACACGCATGCGCATTCAGCTGAAGAGGAGGAGAGCTCCCCACCCGGCGCTGGAGAAAGATAAGATTTTAACTCCTTCCTCTCTCCAGAGCCGGGCGGGAGGGGGACCCTGAGGGTGGGGGCACCCTCAGGGAACTATAGTGCCAGGAAAACGACTATGTTTTCCTGGCACTATAGTGGTCCTTTAATGTTGTAATTGAGAGCGACAGCCCCATTTTAAAAATACCAAGTGATGACAAGTTCCATTTAAAAAAACGGTTCTGTTTTGCCAGCGGTAATTATCTAGTAAGATGAAGTTTAGATTCTGAGTGACTTATGGGCAAGTAACTTTATTTTTGCATTCAAATGTCGTTTCTACTGTCTATCTATAATTTTTAATAGTCTGCAGTATCCAGATGTGGATACAAAACGTCTGTCTCATTTTAGGATTTATGTTTTGGGTTTGTAGCACTAAACAAGATAAACAGAGGAGACCATTAGCATTCCTTCAGCCCTTTTCTAAAATTAAACTACTATTTTTTCCTTCATTTCCCATGGAAAGCTCGGCTCCTTTTTAGTTAAAGTGGGGGAAGAGCAGAGGTCACTGACTCCTTGAGTTAATTAATATTGTGTCCACGGATAAATGACTCTAGTTTTGTCTTGTCTCAGAGGAATATTCCATAAAAAGCCAGGAAATGCCTTTCAGAAGAATGTTAGGAGATGACGTATCCAGACTGGTCACTCATATTTTTATAGAACATGGTTGGCAAATCCATGGGGATGGCTAGGCAATGTCTGGAACTCCAGTTGCTGTAGCCTTGGACTCCCATAGGCTTGGTCACGGGAGATACCAAGGATTGAAAGCTATTGGCAATGATAGTCATGTGCTAACATGCTGAGGCAAGGGATTGGCAATTTAAAGCCCCACATCTGCTGTGCATCAGTGTTAAAGGAGTGGTAGATATTTGCCTATACATGCCTTGTACCCTATGGCAAATATTGTAATAAAATGTTGTGTATCTTGGGGTCCAAGCGCTACATGTATTGGTCAGAATTCTTGAGTGCATGTGCATTGTCGGTATGTGTGTATGTTGGTCTACTGTCTTCATGTGTGTTATGTCTTATGGGTGCATGTTGGTCTTCTGTATGTGTAATGTCAGTATGTGTGCATGTGTTCCTGTGTGTACAGTGTCCGTATATGTGTATGTCAGTGTCTCTGTGTGTCTATATGCAATGTTAGACAACTATTAGGTCATTGGCACACATTGCTGATGTAAATTGCAGTTTTGAAGTGCATATTCCATGATGTACAGCCAAACTTAAGGGATAACTGAGCATAATGGGAATTGTATATTACTAACACTTTTATAATACTCCTTAGCTGATATCCACATACTTCTCCCTGATATCTTACCTCTTCCATATCCCTCCCAGTTATCTCCCCACACAAGTTTTTTTCCCGTTACCAGTTATTTCTCTGAAATCCATCCACAAGTTATTTCTTCCTAGCCTATCTCTTGTATTACCTCTCACTAGCAACCCACCCACTAGTGAGAGAACCTACCATAGTTATTGCATGGCTGAGCGCTGGGTTCCCAGGACAGAGCCAGGCCTTCCTTCTCAGCCTCAGTACTAAATCTGTCAGTGCTGTCAGATACATGATGCAATGTCAAATCACCATCTATTTCACTATGGTGCTGCCAGCAGTAGAGTCCTAAGGTTGAGAAAGAAGGCACAACACTTAACTAAGGGGTGTAGGTAGACAGCCAGCTGGGCCACATCCTGCTTGCATGTCTGTAGCAGAGATCACTGAACCCTGCAGCTGGCCAGTATTGCTGGCTGTAGGGCAACACCGCTTCCTCATGTAAGTTGCACAGATTATACACCCCTAAGGCCGGCACTGAGTGCAAGTTGACCCTAAGTCTCAAAAGTCCCTGTTCAGCCTGTCTTTATTTTATAATGATTGTAGGAGAAGTTAATCGTTTTCTTTCCTGCTTGCTCTCCAGATGCACAAGTTCAAACTGATGGTTACTGAAATAAGAATAGAAACATAGAAACATAGAATGTGACGGCAGATAAGAACCATTCGGCCCATCTAGTCTGCCCAATTTTCTAAATACTTTCATTAGTCCCTGGCCTTATCTTATAGTTAGGATAGCCTTATGCCTATCCCACGCATGCTTAAACTCCTTTACTGTGTTAACCTCTACCACTTCAACTGGAAGGCTATTCCATGCATCCACTACCCTCTCAGTAAAGTAATACTTGCTGATATTATTTTTAAACCTTTGCCCCTCTAATTTAAGACTATATCCTCTTGTTGTGGTAGTTTTTCTTCTTTTAAATACAGTCTCCTCCTTTACTGTGTTGATTCCCTTTATATATTTAAATGTTTCTATCATATCCTCCCTGTCTCGTCTTTCCTCCAAGCTATACATGTTAAGATCCTTTAACCTTTCCTGGTAAGTTTTATCCCGCAATCCATGAACCAGTTTAGTAGCCCTTCTCTGAAGAAAAAATTTAAAAAGGTTAGCGCTAATAATAAAATGAATAAAAGGCAGCGGCCTAACAGAGGGTCACCCTCTAACCCTCTACAGTGAGGATATACAAGTAAAAACAAAGAAAAGGCTGCGCCAAGAAGAGTAGATTAGTATTACACAAATAAAATTATATGTGATTAAAAAATGTAATATAAATAAAGAGTCCCAATTTTTATCTTTAGTTGTTGTCTTAACTGGTGTGATATCTTCTCTCTTGGAAGTTGTCCGTCTCACGATATGAAAGACACAATGGGAAAGGACCAATCGTGCAGAGTGTATAAATAAATATCCGTGAAGTTAAAATATAAATTCCACACTCACATTTCCATGAGCTAAGACCAGCTCTAGTGTAACGGGCATACAGCGGATAACCCTCCGCTTGTAGGGGTGCTTGTCCTCCTGGAGGGTGCTGGTGTCCAATGCTCAAAGGAAAAGAGATAAAAACAGCCAATAGTGCTCTCTGGTGACGTAGTTAAAAATAAGTTAAAATAAATAAAATATACTCACGAGGCCTTTCTGCACTCTATTAATCGCGTGGGTGGTATGACCCCACCTTAGGATATGCCAGGAACGGTAAATAAGGATAAAATAGTATAAAAAAGTAATATATGTGAAATAATTTATTAGTAATACAATACATTAAAACCAATAACGCGTTTCGCCACAATGGCTTTATCAAATTGGAATAATAATACCTGGCACATCAGGAGTATATATAGCTAATACATAAATTCAAAATTGGCGCCAAAAAAAACGTCCACCAATCAGGGCTGTTCAAAATGTAAATAGAGAATACATTGAACAAAAGATAAAAAAATGATATATAACATTAATGGGTTAAGACATACAACTGTATTTGTGTAAGTTTACTATAAAACTGAAGGTTGTATAATAGAAAAATCTAACAGAATTTAAATAAGTAATTCGGGCGTGTCACGTGACCCGCAGTGCACCCTGAACCCTCTCTAAGGTATCAATATTCTTCTGACGATACGGTCTCCAGTACTATGTACAATACTCCAAGTGAGGTCTCACCAGTGTTCTGTACAATGGCATGAGCACTTCCCTCTTTCTACTTTCTACTGCTAATACCTCTCCCTATACAACCAAGAATTCTGCTAGCATTTCCTGCTGCTCTATTACATTGTCTGCCTACCTTTAAGTCATCAGAAATAATCACCCCTAAATCCCTTTCCTCAATTATTGAGGTTAGGACTCTATCAATGTCTACTGCACCACCCTGATCTATAATTTTAGTTACCCAATCAAAACAATC